AGAGAGGGAGAGGAATAAAATTTGAGTTCTAAATTATGGTGAGAGGCCACCGTGAGAGGAGAGATTCTTTTCTATAGAGAGTGATTCTATAGCTCTAGCCGAAGATGGGGGGACTTGGGGAGACTCCCCAACAAATTAGAGCCTCCATAATCCCCATCCAAGATTTTCCACAATCGAATTCACCACACATTCAAACGCTTTTCTCAACCTGTCAAACCTCTCTTAACCAGTGATAATATAGTTCAAAAGCTACCCAAGGTTTATGTTTAAACCCTAGTTTTACCCTACTTTTTTTTTTGAAAATGTTAACTGTATTGTATTGAAGGGAATCGAGTACACAAATGTGCTTCCTAAGGAAGCTATGTACGGCAAAATTCACTCAATCGCCAGTTCTGAATGGACTGAAGGAGGGAGTCTTTGCAGAAGTCGAAGGTTTTTTTTTTTTTTTTTGGAATATGAGCGAGAGTTACTCCAGTCTTTTAGCGAAGCTTTAAGCATCTGGATTTTGTGCTAGACGCAGTAACCAGCTCTACTCAAGATTTGAGAACCACAAAGGAATGAGGTGGGAGAATAAAGGCTCTTCAAACCAAGCTAATTCAAACCTAAAGGGTTTAGGCCCTCGGGGCACTGGCTTGGTATTTAGGAGGATGGGGCAGCGATCCAAGGTTGGTTTAGGTAGGGCCGAAGCATGAGAACCTGTGAAATTGGCATCCCAATCAGTAGAGAGTAGAAATCTTATCTAGTTTTGAAAGGGAGGAGGAGGCCAAGTGGTTGGACCAAGTGAAACAAGCGCCTTCCAAAAGGACGTCTATAAGATTGTGTTTGGAGATGAATCCAAGAAGGTAATTCTGGAGAGAATTGATTTCAAAAGACCACCTGGTGATGTTGAAATCACCTTCAATGCACCACTTAGAGGGGGGGATAGTGGTTACAAGGTCCAATTCATTCCACAATGTTCTTTGAGGTAGTCGGAACGGAATTCGACAGCCATGAACTTCAAAGGGAGGCCGTCCGAGAATCTTGAAAGCACAACTGTTGTAGAGAATGAAACGATGTGAGATGAGGAGAATGAATTCCATTCAGCCCGGAGGGCAATCCAGTTACAAGGCTCCAAATCTTGCAAGAGCTGCTTTAACTACTTCAAAAAACTTAAAAACCTATCCTACATCTTGTGCTAACCTAATTGAATACCACCTTTAACCCTAAACCTAGTTCTACTTCAATTAGAATATTACCAACTCTATCCCATTATCCAAAACTGCCTCAATTGGCAAAACCTTCATAAGGCTCCAAATCCTGCTGTCCTAATCTTTACAAGAGCCTGAAACCCCAAATCCAAACCTAATTAGAATTGCCCATCATACCCAAAGTGTGTTACCTAGAAACTTAAAATATCCTATTCTGTCGTGTGTCAACTCGTGCGAACATTGAGACAGGTGACATGTACTGACATGCACAAACACGTCCTGCACTAGTAACGCACCTGTCTGAATTTTTTATGCAGTACGTGTCAAAACTTCTATCAAATGTGTCGACATTGTCGATGTGGGGTACCTTCCCTGCACTATAAAACAAAGCTGTCCACCCATGTGATCTCTAAGCCCAATGAACTCGAACCCACGATTACCTAAACAGAGTCTAAGGCATGTACACAGCATAGGCGGCCAATTGTTGTTGATAATATATACATGCTTTCTTTTTGTAGTTCAAGAATCCTTTTTATAATTGAAGAACTTTGCCCAAGGCTGCCATTTGCACATCCTGATAGATGCATTTATAGCTGTATAAATGCACTTCTTGTGATCCACGAGACTTAGCTAAAAAGTACAAAAAATAATAAGTATCACAGAACCCAAAAACAAGGAAGCCTTCTGTTTATTCATATAACACGCATGTTATTATTGTATTAATACAGTCCCATGAATTTAAAGTTAACAGCCTCATTAACCACCACTATTGATAGTCACCCACTTATTTAAATAAAAGAATAGAAATAAATATAATAATAAAAATAAAAGTTGTATAGTCCAACCAGTATATTATTTTCTTAATATAGTCCCACCACAATTTTTTGTATTAGTAGAGTCCCGTGTGTTGGTATACATGTAACACTATGCCAAACCATTTCTTTCTATACTCAAACTCGCATTTTTGCACGTGTAAGAGCCAGGCCCCCTTGGTCCTACATCAGTGTTGGTGTTAGAGCAAGTTGATCCTTGGATTTGCTTTGGGTCCCGCCATATGAACCTAAATGAGTCGAACATTGGCACTCATCTCTCCAACCAAAGAAATGAGCTTATGTTGCAAGTATAGGAAGAGATGAATGCGAGGCATCAAGTCCTCAATGCAAAAGAAGCACACTACTGCTCCTCCCTAAAGTATGAGTGGCTATCCAATCCCTATAGAGTCGACTCATCTCCCACGGTAACCAATACAATCCCTACAAGGATGGACTTGTTCAAGTAGGCAGCAATGAATGTGCTTTACACCTGGACCATCCACAGTTCCATACCTACCCACATCCAAGCAAAAAGCTCCAATTATTTCAAAGGGACATGACAATAAGGACACTAGAAAAGGCAGCAACCCCAGCAAGTGTTCAAGTGCAATGGACTGGGCCCCGTCGCCTTCCATTATCCAATCAAGAATTTAAACTTAGTGGATGATGATTCCAAAGTTAACGGTTATCACTTAGGAGAAGATAGAATACTAAGCCTATTACAGGTAATTTCACAATATCACCAAAAAGGTTGCTGTATCTGGGACATGTATGGCCCTGACATGTTTGTTCCTTCTTTTATAAATAAATTCCATATCTACATAAATCATAAAAACTTTGCAAAAAATAATAAATAAATTTTTAAAATAAAAAATGTAAAAATATAAGAATATAAGTAAAAACTTAAGAATATAAGTTTAGTTTATGCCAGAAAATAAAAATATATTTTTGTTTCTATTATTTTATTTGAGCATGCATTACTTTTGAGACTATATTAATTCGAAGTCTGTGGGACTATATTAATACAATAGACTTTTATTTCTATTTTATATTTATTCCTGCTCTTTTATGTAAATAAGCGTGGATCTATATTACTAGCGGTAGTTCATGAGACCATATGAATTTTGAGTTTGCGGGAACGATAATAACAACAGCATTACATTTTTAAATTTTTACTTTGTGTATGAGTCCCATGAATCACAATAAATGCATTTATAAATAATGAATGTGTATGTCCAAATGGGAAAAAGGCATCCTTAGGTGAAGCTTTTCAACATAAAAGAGGGAATCTATAGAGCATTTATAAATAAAAAATAAAAATAAAATATCTAGATTATCACAATGGTTGACAGACAATGCAGTAGATGGCTCATGAGTCCAATAAGGTGATCAGTGATCTCAAATTCGTCCAAATGGGTAAATGGCATCCTTAGGTGAAGCTTTTCAACATAAAGAGGGAATCTATAGAGCATTTATAAATAAATAAATAAATAAAAAATACCTAGATTATAGTTTGTGGGTGGATTTCTAGTAGTTGATTTTGACAACTTTTGGGGACCCAATAGACGAGGTTTGCACTGACATTGATTTGATTTTGATATTTTTTTAGTATTATCATATTTGAAAGAGGGTTTTGATTTTAATTTGCTACAACATATTATGTTATGAATCATGTGTTTTTTCCTTTACTTTTTTGTTTCTTTTACGATATATTTCCATGTTTGTAGTTGAAATATTGATTATTATTTTTTTTGTGATTTATTGATTTTTCTCTCACTTGGACGATGAAATTGAGCATATATCATATTCTTTTATGAATAATTGATTCCTTTTTTGTACAATGTGTCTTATTTTGATATTCTATTTTTTTTTGTTTTAGTTTATTTGATAAATAATTGTTTTTGTGATATCTTAATGGGTTAAATCTTATGTGAAAGTCAAGCTAAAGTCTTAAAATGTCTTATATATTAGGTTAATTGTAGTATTGTATTGTTGTACTATTATGTTTTCGTCTATTTCATGATCACAAGGAGTATGGGGCTCTAAAATTGCCCATAAAACTCCCTAAGGATATAAACCATGCCCTAAGAACTCCCCTATTTTTTATGTTTGGGTTGGGAGGGTGTTTTTTATTTTGGTGAGGGAACCCTATCCCTAGGCGCCCGACCGCCTAGGCGGCCAAGCACCCAAACCGTTTAGGCGCTTGAATCTGTTTTTTTTTTTAACATTGCAGCCGCCCCATAGTACTTCCCCTTCAGTTTCATTGGAATGAGACGATCATATAAGACTCCAGAAGCACATCTTCACTTCAACCACCTAGCTATAATTCTATGAGCAACATCTTCCTCAATCTCTCATTTTTCATGGATTACAAATCCAAGATATCAAAAATAATCACTTTTAGGTACTTCTTGACCATCAATCGTAATTAATTCTCTTTCATGGCCCTATTAGTACTAAATTTGCATTCATGTATTTTTAGTCTGGCTAATTTTTAAACCTTTAAAGTCTAAGGTATCCCTCCAAAGTTCCAACTTTGCATTTACGTCATCTCTAGTTTCATCAATCAAACTTGTCATCTGCAAACATATTTATGGGATTTCATCATGTAGTTTCCAAGTTAACTCGTCCATAACCAAAGAAACGAGATATAGACTCAATGTTGAACCCTAATGTAGGCCTACAACCACTAAAAACTCACGTGTCTCTTAACTCCCTCACATTATTCAGCTCTTCCTCGGACACTATCCCTCACTACATCAATATATCTTTTTGAGACTCCCTTCTTTTCTAGCACCCTCTAAATTCTCTCTCTAGGCACCCTAACATACGTTTTCTCTAAATCAATAAAGACCATGTGGAGGTCTTTCGCTTTTCCCTAAAGTAGGAAAATAGCCTCAATGATTGACCTCCTCAGTATAAATCCGAACGAATTTTCCAATATTCTCATTTCATGTCTTAGTTGTTGCTCAATCACTCACTCCCACGGTTTCATAATGTGGCTCATAAGTTTGATCACCTAGTAGTTCATACAACTCTATCTCATTAATTATTGTAAATAGGTACCGTAATACTTTTCTTCCATTCATCTGGCATTTTCTTTGTTCGTTATTAAACAACTTTTTCAATCAGAATAAGCCAATATCTCCCAAGCACTTCTAAATCTCTATTGGTATATCATCTGATCCTAAAGCCTTTTGTATCTTTCTCTTTATGAATGTTCATGTCATTTCAAATTTCCTTGAAAGCTTCAACACGTATTACAAAAATAACAGAAGATCATATACATACGTTACAAGTGTCAATCACGTGCGTTGACATGCGATAAAATAGAATATTTGAAGCATCTAAGTATACTAGTGACAAGTGATATCCTTGCACTCGAACCCTGCTCTCTCCTAAGAAAGAGACCAAGATGGGCAATAGCTAAATATCTCTTGGAGATGAGCCAAGCGTGAAGGACAAATATATAAACCTCATCATAGATAAAGGAAGCAAAATAAACATTGCCTCCCACAACCAAATATGATAGCCTAGGTGAATTACATCATTGTTCCTGTTAGCATCCGGTGTCTTACGGCACTCTCGATGAGTGTCATTGTCATAACATATTCGATATGATTTCCCTTCATGACCATTAGCCATATCATATTTGGATGGCCTTGATTGTTGGATAACACCATCAAGCATGATCACGACGCCAACACCCTACTCTTTCAAGCTCTATGACAGAAAAACTTATATTGATCCTTTGAGAGAAACAGTCTCCTAGGGAGATAAAGATAGTGAAGCCAGCCAATCTTTCTTGGAAGAAAGTCAAGAGGACGAGGTGTTCAAAGCACTTTGAGAAAGAATTATCAAGCCCAATCAGCAGCTTGCTAAAGATGAAGATCCCATGACAATTCTCTCAAACTTCACAGATTTGGTCCAAGATTAGCTCCCTAACGAGTTGCCACCCATGTGAGATACACAACATGACAGATTCATACCTAGAGCGACATTTCCAAACCTCCCACTTACCACATGAGTCTCACAGAGCATGCAGAGCCTCGCCGCAAATTGAAGAGCTGCCAGCCAAGCGATTTGTTCATAAGAACATGAGTTCGTGCACAGCACCTGCCCTCACTCCAAGACAGATGGCCCACGGCACATGTGCATCAACAACATGACTGAAGAATGGGCACATTCTAAACTGTTAAGAGGACAACACCGAAAGGGATTATAGTGAAATACAGCATCCGAGGTAGGAACCATTCACGCTAACTTTGAGAACTTGAGAACGAGTTTTCTACAATTGGGGGAGATTGCAGACTGTCTTCCAAAGGCATAATTTCTCACCATACATCCATTCAGGGTGATCCAAAGCATAAATCATAGACCTCTTCAAGATCTACAACCCTCATCACTATGGATTAATTTTTGTGTTTTGGGGTTCAAATCATGTTGGAAATCACACTGGAAAATCAGTCATGAATTTTATTTTCCTAAGCATGCTAGGTTTATTTCCACAAAGCTGCCAATTCTAGTTGAATTAAAAACCTTTGGAGTTAGTTCCCTAGAGTCTTTAGGAGTATGTTTTTAATGCTCTCAATAGCCCAAGTATAGGGTAGGTAGAACTCAGAACTCATTATAAATATCTAATGTAAGCCTCTAGATTCGTATTCAAGTTGAGAACTAAAATTTGAGTTTTCATTTGTGGTGGGAGGCAACTTTTAGAAGAGAGATTCCTCAACACCTCTTGTACAGAGAGTGATTCTATAATCTAGCTTAAGAGTGGGAAAGTCTTCCGAACAAGTTAGACCTACTTCTTTCCCTTCTTGTGTGGCATGTTCCCATCCAAAAGTCCCCACAATCAAATTCCTCACCAATTCAAACCCTTCTATAAACCGCAGCCAAACCTCACTAAACCATAGGTAAAAAATCTCAAAAGCTACTCTCTTTAAACCCTAGGTTTAAACTAGCTCAACCCTAGAATCCATCTCATCATCCTCCTATCTTGCTGGACCTGCTAATTCCAGTAACCTTTAACCCCTTTAGAAAACTTAAAAACTATCCGAGACCTTGCCATAACCTAACTAAACCCCTAACATTTGTTCTACTTCACTTAGACCTCATATCATCCAATTCTACCCCACTTAGGAAATCATCAAAGGACAAAAATCCTAGTTGTCCTAATCATTATAGTTACCCAAACCCTTCAATACCCCCAATCCAAACCTATTCAGAATTCCCATCATACCTAAACCCTTAAATCTAAGATAACCTCACATGTCACAACTGTGTAGGAGCCAGTCCCACACACACACACACACTGACAGCATATAGGTCCACAGAGCATACCATGCACTTACTCCCTCAGGCAAAACACCAACTTAGATGTATTTTCTTGATTTGAAATTTTGTACCACATTACAATCACCAGATAATTTGGTAAAACGATTTTGGGCGTAAAATTTTTTTTGGGTTGGTCACTAAATGAGAAGATTAGATCTCCAAATCCAAGGGTCCCTAAATGGCACATATATCTGTGCGCACATGCATGTTTGTAAGCGTACCTGTGTGTGCATGTGTCTGGGTGTGTGCGTGTGTGTTGTTTTTTGGGGGGTCGTGGGGGGGCGGTGTATGCGTGTATGAGCATAAGCAGAATACAATTTACGATTACCTTGGTTAGATCCAATCCTGGTTGGAAACCAATTCCAACTACTCTTTCTACACTACGAGTGTGTGGTCTTGCCGTAAAAACAGGCCTGCAAATAAATGGTAAAGAAGAATACCAGAGAAAAGCAATGAAAATCAGAATGCAATTCTAATTTTTAGAAAAAAAAATAACCCGCAATTAAGATAATTGTAAAGGACTTCATGTGCTATGTCTGACTTTTCTCAACTCAAAAAGAGAAGAACTCCAAAATTAACTTGATTGTTAACCCTACAAAACCAGTAATTATCTAGCAGTTTTTGTCTATGAAAATAATTTTCTCTCCATTATCTTCGAAAAAAAAATTTCAGAACCATGCCTAGATGTGGAACATTCACTAAATGGAAGCAAGAACTCACATGTCAGGACTCCGTACATCAAATATCCTTATTGAACCGTCCACATATCCCGCAGCCAACTGACCCCCATGAACTTGAGAAGCAGACTGTAGAAAAACAAGCACTCACATGAATACAAGCATAACAACAATCTAGAGAACATGCGAAATGACACCTCCAAATCTCCAAATAGGGAGCACCAACACAAATGCACCAGGAGATCACAAAAGGATTATTGTTTGCAAATCACGTTAGAAGCATATGGGGGCCTGCAATCACCTGCATATGTCTATCAATGCTCTGATAGTGGATATCATAATGAAATATTGAAGATAGCACTGTGGGAGAGCACGAAAGCAGGTACAGGTCCATTTAACAAGCAACTAAGTACCCACACATGCCAAACATCAGCCACGCATATGCACTCAAACATTAGAATACAAACACAAGCTAAGCTCCTAGCTCCAATTACCCCCAACACCCATCTTCACAAAAGAAAAATTAAACAAATTCCATGACTAGCAACAACCACATGTACTAAACAATAAATAGGCACCACTTGATAGTAACTGCATTCAACAACTTAAGCTTCTCACTATCCATCATCCATCATCCATCTCACACGAGCGAAGTCATGCACGCGCACGCGCACGCACACACCCACATCCACACCCATACCCACCATGGCAGTGGATCGATATCATAAAAGCAAACAACAGATAAGGGACCAACATAAGGTAAAATATCAAATATCAAGCCAACAAAAGGTGGAGTTACCAATGCCGAAATACTGCTTTCAGATGCTGAAGGAATAGAACGAATGAGCTGCTCTTTATCCAGATCCCAAAGCATGACGGATGATATCTCCCCAGATGCATACTGCACAAGAACCCTCAGAACATGAATAAAAGAACAGACAAATCAGTATGAAAGCTTGAAATAGAAAATAACCGCATAACATTTTAGCCATTTTAACGCTAGCTGTACCAGGTATCCACTCTGCTGTTGCCAATCCACTACAGCATTGACACTACGTGCACCAGGCCTGTGACCTTGAATAGAAGATAGAGCTGTTACAAGCTTTTGCCTACCCCTTTGAGTGTAATCTTTCCAGATGCGCACATTTCCATCACCTAAAAGATTATTATTGTATCAGATGCATAATTAATCCCAATTAGTGTTATGCAAAAGTGGCATATCTCAACCACCATAACTGCTCAAAAAAACATACCGGCAACGGATCTTACTTGAAGCAACAAGAAGTAAGCTGTCATCAAGCTCATTCACAAGGCAGAGCTTAGAAATCCCCTTCTCAGGGAAATCATGATTGTTGAAAGTGTTTAGCAGGGTATCTTTTTCGTAGTTCCAGACCCTAGAATAAAATAAGCATTACTAAATAGTTTTGAATATCATGATAATAAGCCAATGCGAACTAAATCTTACTAATTAACTCAAGTGCCATCATACCTATTGATGTTCAACACAATTCAAGAATGTTCCTAAGGTTCGTCATTTTCTTGGGAGAAAGAAATCCACATTAGAAAGCTCAAATAAACACATTTTTCCACTACAATAGTGAACAACAAAAAATTGGAACACGCGCACATATCGAGGTGTATATGCACGCACACTCATGCTTAAACAAACATATACATATGTGGTGTGGCATACTAATGCTTGTATCTATGTTGCATAAATCAAAATTGAGTCAGAAGTTAGACAACCACTACGAACTAGATTCCATAATCCACAGCCTTTATCTTTTTTTGTTTCCAAACAACAAATCTTAAAAACAAAATATCAGGGTGTTGATCCACAGAGTTTTTACCAAAACCATATAGAGATTGATATTTGCACTCTTTTATTCATTTTTCTTTTATCTTTTTTCTTTTTTTTGTGATGTAAGTACCCAAGTACCTTGGTAGAAGTGAATCAACAAGCACATTTTTATTCCCATCCACAATTGGGGTATGAATGGTAAAACATTGGTGCAGGCGGTAAATCATACGTGTGCATAATGATCCCCATTATAAAGTGTATGTACAATATACAAATGTAACAATTGTTAATTTCTATGTAAGTCACATGGAAATAACTTCATATTTCTATTTTGTATTGCATATGCAACATTATATTAAAATTGTAGTGAGATGATACAAAGATTATGATGAGAGAGAGGGTCAAGGTATAACTGCCTCCATGTTAATGTCTAAAAACGCATAGCCCTAAGCATTTGTGCACAACTGAAAAGGGTTTTGATGTGAGGTCATCCCTTGATGAGGTCGGAGTTGAGTCCAGGTTGGTAGGCCAAGGAACCAAGTGGTTGGAGTTGTGCCCAGGGTGGTTGGCCAGAGGACTAGGTGTGACCCCTATGTGCGGTGGTTGGCCGGAGAAGACAAGCACCAAACCCTCATCATTACCATCGCACAACATGTACACTAGATAGCCTTCTGGAAAGTAACCCTCTGGGTGAGGGGGTGTGTGGTGTATATGTGCTGAAGAGATGTCTCCCTGCAACACTGGATTGTGTTGGAAGGACCCATGAGGTATTGTGCTAGAATGGGGCCAGGACTTGTCCTCGAGGAACCTGTAATTCATGGGCTAGATTCGTGTCTCCTTAATTTATTGCAAGACTTTGATAGTCCAAGCACAAACCCCTACAAAGGGATGTGGGTCATGGGAATTGTTTGGTCAGTTTGAGAAGATGACAGTGAGATGCGGTTTCTAGAAGGAATGAAGTCCTTGGTATATTTGTGATATTCCTATCTCTTTAGATCCAATTCCCATCAAATCTTCTTAAGTACGTTTACTTATATTTTAATTATATTTTAGCTAATTAAAATGAATTTTTAGATCTCTTTGAATATTAGATTTTAGTGAACAAGGATTTTTAAATAAGAAAAAATTAATTTTCTGGATTTACATAATTCAAAGAGAAAAAGATATGCACTTATGTACTGATTTCTAAAATTCTTTTTATTTGTCTGGAATTCTTTCTGGGGTGTGGGGGCCCATTGGGACTCTCGGACCACCACATTTGAGCCCATTAGGTGGGGGCGTGGGGCCCACATAGCTCACTCTGTGAGGGACACCCCACATATTCCATTCTTTCCTCATAGTGTGGCTTGTGGTCGAAGCCACCTACTTATTTGAAAATAAAAGAAAGGTTTCACAGAATAATGTTGATTGATTTAAAATACGAAGGTGTAGAGATTGATTGAAATTAGATATATAAGTACATAGTATTGTCTCTATACCAACATTTGATGGGAATAGAGTTATGAAAACTAAAGAATAATGGTTCTAGCTCATTCCTTTAATCAAGGATGGTTGATCTAGGGGATAAAGGGCTAAGATCTCTTCACCCCACAAGTCTCCAAGATCTACAGTTAAGATTAGGTCTCATAAGGAGGCAAAACCCTATACCCCAAAACCTTAGCCTCCTCTCTATAAATATTCTCTATGAAAGTGTATTCTCTATGGATGGGCCTCTCTCTCTCTCCTCCCCATTGGCAAGTATGCCTCTCTCTCTCTCTC